GTCGATAAAATATAACTTTTTAAAAAATATTTGATTAATAACTGGAGATCTCCTCTCAATTTTCCAATTGCTTTTAGTTTCAAGCTAATGACATATTCTTAAAATAACTTACAATTTTGCATGAAAATAAAATTTCAAATGTACTAAGCATATAAATCTGTGTGTTTGTACTTTTCTGGACAATATTATAAGACCTCAAAGGCCTCATATATTAAGATGTGTAAAGATAGACCTGTCTTCCTATTTTTAGAACTAATGCTAAGAATAGGAAATGGACCGGCTGGGGTTGTAGCTCAGTGGTAGAGTGCTTGCCTTGCATGCTTGAGGCCCTGGGTTCAATCCTCAATTACCTCATAAAAATAAATAAATAAATAAAAATAAAGATATCATGTCCGTCACAACTTAAAAAAAAAAAAAAGAATAGGAAATGGACAAATTCAAATCTGGTGGTCAGGTTAAGCCTCTCCATGGCAGATACAGGACAGGTAGTGCTGGCTTGAGAGGAGCCAGGGATGCTGTTGGTGTTTGGGGAAGAATCCTAGGCTGTAAAGCACACCCCACATTCATGATCTCAGCATGATGGATTCTGACTGGCTTTGCCTCCCAAGGAAGAGGGATCCTTGGAGACTGTAATTTTTGCCCCTGTGGAGAGTAGAGCAGTCTGGACAATAGCAGGACCATTATTCTCTTCTGATCAGGTAATAATATGGTTAAGGTAGGGAGACCCACTGCATCTGGTAAAAACACAGTGGGTGGGTGGGTAAGTGTTATTTTTAGAATGCAATGAGATCTCATGGGGCAGGAACTATAGTCTGGCTGGGGAATCCAAAGATCCCAAATGAGGCAGCTCAGGAAATAGTTGAAATTTGGCTCTGCAATTTACTAGTTATGTAATCATAAACAAGTCCTTTTAGAGTCCTTTCAACTCTTTTTCCTTAACTGTATTAGGGAAACTATCGCCTTCTTTTCTGCTAATCTGTGAGGATCAGATGTTATGTGAAGAGGCTAAGAAGGATCGCTGACATGGAATAGGTAATGGTAATATGCTTTCAAAATGACTCCGATATTCTAAGCCTGGTTCATGGAAGACTCATGGGCTGTTCTCAGATAAGGAAAGATAAAGGAGACGGCTCGGGGCCTCGGAGATGACTTATATTTTGGTGATGTTGTAATTTTCATCAGAACAGGATAGTCAGGTAGGAAGTTCCCTTAAACTGATGGAAAGGCAGGATATGAATTCAGGAAAGAAGCCAAGGCTGGCTAGAGAATCAGATTGGGACTGATCCAAAGAGAAGTGAGTTACATTTGTGAGAAAGAGCCACTGAAGCACTCAGGTAGAATGAATAGAGGAAGGAGGGATTCGTGCCACTACTACACAAATCTAAGGGAAGGGAAGAGGGGAAACAAGTGAAGGAATGGCCAGAGAATCGAGAGAATCAAAGATGCTAAGACAAAAGGGTTGAGAACATTTAGGGCTTTCAGTGCTGTTATTGATGATTTTGAAGTTTTTGCAGATATATGCTTTGTCATTATCTTAGGGAGTTGGTGTCATTATTAAAAGAAATTCAGAAAGAGCCATGAAAAAAGTAAGCTGCCTCTGTGATTTGCACACAAAGTTCAAAGATATAAACAGTTTCGTGCTCTTTGAAATTAGGCCAACTATTCATATTCATCAGAATATTTGAAAAGGACAATTTCAAAAGCATTTATAAGTAAATTACCTAAAATCCTCGCCTTAAGAATCATTCTGGAGAATGTATAGTGTGGTGGAGAGAGAAAGCACAGAAGTCAGAATCAGGTAGTCTTGGGTTCAAATTCTGTGACATTAAAAAAAATCATTAATGCTGAAGGTGCCTCAGTTTTTTCTTCTTTGTAATCCTATCACTAAGCTAGCTGTAACATTTGTTGTGTGATCATTGAGACAATGATTATGAAACACATTGAACAGCACCCAAAACATAGTCCAAGTTATCACATTTTATGTTTTTGTGTTGTTTCTTTGCATTCTTCCTTAAACCTTAGTTTTAACAGTAGGTGGCAGCAATGCTCTCCTAATAAATTAAACCGACAAATGCTAACTTTTTGAAAGGGATGAAACCAGTGAATGAAATCTCATCTAAAAGGAAGACATGTGTAGAGCCAGCAAAGCAAAAGGAGAGAGATGGATAGAGACAGACATGGAAACAGACATAGAAAAGGAGGGAGGGAGGAAAGGGTGAGGAGGGGACAGGAGGTGGGGAGGAGGCCAGACGAGATTTTTAGAACTTTTTATTTCAAAAGAAAATACTAGAATAGTCATTGTGGGGGAAATGAGACCTTTATTAAACAGCCTTCCACCGTTTACAAAATTTATTGTTTTTGTTTGTAAACATCTGTGGAGGAGTGGTGAATATTTTTTTTTATTGACAATATTTAAGGATCTTAAGTGATTCTGGATTTAGAAAAATTAGCCACATAGAAATGTAGCTTACTGTTAATTTTTATTGTACCATTAATCTCAATTGTAAAAATATAATCATTTTCATCTATGTAAAATATTCCTTCTACAATGAGACATTTAATGGTATATTAAATGTTATCTATTGACATGTAACACTTCCCCCCAAAATTGGTAGCTTAAAACAATAAACATTTATTATCTTCTATTTTCTGAGGGCCAGCAATCCTGGAGCTGCTTAGCTGGGTGTTTCTGACTCAGGATCTCTCATGAAGTATGTAACTACAATGGGACTGTAGTTATCTGAAGCCTGACTGGGACCTGAAGCATCTGTTGCCAAGATGATTTATTCACATTGTGGGTGGCAAAAGGCCTCAAAATACCTTTGCACATGAATTTCTCCAAAAGACAGTTTGAGTGTCCTCCCAGCATAACAGCTGGTGTCTCCCAGAGTGCCCCAGGAAGCCACAATACCTTTTAAGACCTCACCTCAGAAGTCATATGCAGTAATTTCCATCATATTTGTCCAAAGCGAGTCACAAAGGAAATGACTGAACACAGTTTCAGGGATCTTATACATAGTCGGGAAACAGTTCCCACACACACAAAAAATCACAAACTGATTGATTTCTTTTGGTGTGGTCCTGAACCCATCACATCATTTCCATGGAGAGTTTTTCATCTATGAAGGAGAATAGTCCAGGTATTTATTAAGTACTTTCACTCTAAGGAGGCCTTTTCTGTTCTATCTGGTGTGTCTCCAGAAAACACCTCTTTATCTCTAACATAAAATGATCTAAGACAGTAGATTTCAACTTTTAGACCCACTCCAAAAATTATATTTTACATTGTAACCCAACACACAAAAATATTCATGTATGTGCATTATATATGTGAATGAACACATATGTATTATATACACATGACAGAAATGAAAGCTCCACCAAACAGTACTTTCTTACAATGTTTGTATGATGTATCCTCATTTTATTCTCCATTTTATGCTCCTTCTTTGAAATGAATCTACTACTTTGGTTTCACAATCAATAAGGGCTTCATCATTCATTCTGCTAAAAATCAACACCCGAGCTGGGCATGATGGCACATGGTTGTAATCCCAGCAATTTAGGAGGCTGAAGAAAGAGATCCCAGGTTCAAGGTCAGCCTCAGCAACTTTAAAGGTCCTAAGCAACATAGTGAGACCTGTCTCAAAATTAATATAAATAAATAAATAGGACTGGGGATGTAGCTCAGTGGTACAGTGGCCCTGGATTCAATTCCCCAAACAAAACAAAACAAAATCCACACACACACTTTCACTCCTTGGTGCTCATTTCCACTGGAACTAAAACAGAAACACTGAAGAACCAGAGATTCCTCACTCTGTTTCTGGCAGGCACAAAATCACCTTCTACAGATGAATCATTCCTGTGATTCTCTTCTAATCAGGCAGGAGCTAGGATCAGAAGCAGCCTATCAGGTAAAGAGGTTGCTCTGTTTAACTTCAAAAGTTGGCTCTGGAGCTTACTCTGTGACTGCTCAGTCCTCTAACCTCTCCCAGCTCATTCCTCCTGTGTATAATTGGAATAATAAGTAGTGTCCCCTTTGCCTATTTCATAGAGTTGCTACTAGTCTCACAATTACACTCTTTTGTCACAGAGAAATCTAAAGGCATGATCTTTAGTTCTCACAACAACCCCCTAAGGTATGGAGTAGAATCCCCTTTTTTGTAGGTGAAGAAATTGAGACTCAGAGGAGTGACTTATACAAAATCTTAAAGTTAGCAAGCGGCAGAGCTACAACTCCAACCCAGCTCTGCCTCCAAAACCCTCACGCAGAATGACAGTGTAAGCTATTTTCACGTGACCTTATTTGCTGACGATCTGATGTATTAAAATATGGACTCATACTAACTAATGACTAATTTCTAATGACTTTACTGATCCTGTCGACTTTTATTTAACAGGAATATGAAAGATCCCACGTAAACCTTCGGAGTTCTAGCGCATAAAACTACCTTTATCCACTAGAGCGTGTGAACTATTATCGTGAAGGTGACGATTGCCCACAGTGAACATGTCTGAACTAGGTACAAATTTTCCCCCCAGTGGTGCCCCCAATGTAAGCCCCAACACCAAATCAGTCGGGTACACCCACTGACGTTGGAAAGTGTCGTTTTCAAGGAAAGACCCCAGCTTGCTCGCTGGTTTTGTTCGGTGGAGCCTGAGCCCCATCTCGGCGCGGTAACCCTAGGGCCCCGCCGGAGCCAACCCCGGGGGCGGGACTGGCACCATAAAGCCCTTTATTGAGGTTTCCGCGTGACGCAGGGTCGCCCTGCCTCGGCCCTGGTCGCCATCCGCAGCTAGAGCCGGCGATCGGGAAAGGAGTCGTGTGCCCGCGGCGCGGGCCCGCGGCGTGTGCGCGGCCATGTGCACCTAGCCCGCGCGCGCTCGGCCTCGGGGGAGCGCGGCCGCGGAGACCCACGAGCCCGGGTAACGAGGCCGCCGGGGCCGGCTCGCGGGGACCAGGCCCCGAGGTGCCGCGGACCCGCCCCGCGCCCCCCGGCCTTGGCGCGCCGGCTGAGCTTTTGAGGCGAGGCGGAGGAAGGGTGGAGCTCAGGCGTGGGAAGATGCGAGGTCCAGCCCGTCTCTGGCCTCCTCGTTCCTGCCCCGCGGCTGCAGGGGCCTCCACCTCTCCCGGGAACCGGTTCCTACCAGGAACTGCAAGTCCAGGGAAGGGAAGGAGACTTGCCAGAATCCGTGTGCAAGGGCGGGACCCAGCAATGATGCTCAGAGTTGGCCACATTTTAAATTCAGACTTTTGTTCGGTTGCGGTGCTGGGGATTGACAGGGCCTCGAGCATGCGGAGCAATGGCTGTACAACTGAGCTACCTCCCAGCCCCTTTTATGTTTTAATCTTGAGACAGGGTCTCTGAATTGTCCAGGGTGGCCTGGAATTTCCAGCGTTGGCCTCCCGAGTAGCTCGTTTTCAATTATAGACTTTCATCACCTGATTTAAATTCACCTGGTTTTTGATTGAGGGAAAATTTGGGAAGGGTTGATTAGTTTGAAGGTCTCGGGCTGATGGCAAGAAGTTTCTGTGCCAGGAGAGCCATTTATGGTTTAGTACTGCTATAAGCACACACATTGTGTGATGCAGGGATTGTATTGTTTTGATATGCAATGACAAAATGCCATAACAAACACTGATGCAGTTAAAGAAACCCCCATTCAGGAGGGCTTTTTTTTAAAATTAATTAATTAATTTAAAATCTTTTTTTAAAAATTAATTAATTTATTTATTTTTTATTAGTTGTTCAAAACATTACATAGCTCTTGACATATCATATTTCATACATTTGATTCAAGTGGTATAAGGGAGGTGAAGGGAAAGAGGGAAGAAAAAAAAAAAAAAAACAAGGGAGAGAAATGAAGTACGGGAGGGCAAATCTTGCCTGATATTTTCTCCTAAAGTGGAGGCAAGAGCCTGCCGTGGTGGTGCCTAACGCCTGTAATCCCAGCAGTTCCAGAGGCTGATACCAGCCTCTGCAATTTAGTGAGGCCCCAAGCAAGTTAGCTAGACCCTGTGTCAAAATAAGAAATAAAAAGGGCTGGGACAGCGGCTATGAGGATTGTGAGTTCAAAGCCAGCCTCAGCAATAGCGGGGTGCTAAGCAACTCAGTGAGACCCTTTCTCTAAATAAAATACACAATAGGGGTAAGGATGTGGCTCAGTAGTCGAGTGCCCCTGAATTCAATCCCTGGTACCTGTCCCCCCCCACCCCCCCAATAAATAAATAAATAAAAGGGCTGAGCATGTTGCTCAATGGTTAAGATCCCCTGGTCCCCTGAGTTCAAGCTCCAATAATAATAATAATAATAAAGTAAGAGTTGATAAAATGAAATAATAGAATAAAAGTTTTACAGTTCAGGTTTAGGTTCAATGAACTTTTTTTTTAAAGGCCCTTCTGAATTTAGAAATACTTTCTCTGAATCTTTATTAGTTTTCTATAAAAATATTCAAGTGAGAGCTGAGGAGTAGCATAGTGATAGAGCTCTTGCTTAGCATGCAGAAGACCCTGAGTTCCATCCCCAACACAGAGGAAAAAAATTCAAGTGAAAGCCATTAATTACGTATGTTGCAATCTTCAGGCAAGGTGAACAGAACACCTGTGACATTACATCAGGCACCTATGTAAGGAAATTGGACTGTGGACCATCATGGCTTATGGCTTACCAAGAAAGAACACAGTGAAGACCATTTTGCAGTGCAGTTATTATAAAGTGTAAGTATTTTTATCACAGTAAGCAGCCATTGGGGTGGGGAGTCTTTGTTAAAATAAAGATACTGGATACCCCTGTATTCCTCATGTGATACTGGACTATAGGAGGTATTATCCAGTGTATGGTGCTAATTTTGTTTTTTAAAAGCAACTGCTTTTATAAGAATATATAAAAGATCTTTCTTGCTCTTTACACCAAAGTAACACAAATGAGAAAATTTAGGTTTCAAGAAGTTTGATCAAATCATTGATCTTTGAGAGTGCAGTACCAGGCTAGTGATCTGAGGCTTCTTATTCCAAAACAACATTTAAATTACATTTTTAGAGAGATCAAATTTACTTAAAAACATCCTGGTGCCAGATGTTACCTTAGAGCACAAAGTGTTGGCATAAAGTGTCAGTTCAGTGCCTTTATGCTTTGCAGGAAGTGAAAGAACCTACTACTTTGCAAAACAAGACCTAGGAGCTGGGTATGGTGGAGCAAAAGACCTGGGAGCTGTAATTCCTGCACTGGGTAGGCTGAGGCAGGAGAATTGAAAGTTCAACAGTGATCGGGGTGATTAAAGAGACCCTTTCACAAAAACAAAACAAAACAAAACAAAATAAATAAGCAAACAAACAAAAAAAAAAAAGAAAAAGAAATGGGATGTGGATGGGAATGTAACTTAGTATCTCAGTGGTAGATAACTTACCTAGTATGCATGAAGCCCTGGGTTTAATCCCTAGCATTGCATTACTGAAAAAAAAAAAAAAAAAGAGGACTTGGGTTCTGACTCCCTCTGAAAATCTTCTCTGGGCCTTGGCCTTGACTCCACATCTGTAAAATGGATATAAAAATGCCTATCTATGTGGTATGGATTGTGAATTAAGTAATGCATGTCAAGAACTTGCAGGTTGCCTGGAATATAGAGAACATATAATGAACACGTGCTGCTAACTAACAGTATTTTACTCTGGTGTTATAGTGCTGCCTATTCTATTAAATATTTTTTTGGATTTGTTTAGTTATCCCCTGTGCCACAGCTTATGATATATTTACTATTAGAGTCAAGTGAATTTTTCTTGTTAATATCGTAAGAAGTAAATGGGATTTCCTAAAGGGTTATAAAACCAGAGAAGTAGGAAAATTAGAGAAAACTTACAATTACATTTTGCTGAGTTAGGTGGTATTATGGTTTTAAGATATGAGGTGTCCCCCAAAAGCTCACGTATAAAACAAAGCAAGGAAGTTTAGATATGAATTAATTGGGTTTTGAGAGCCTTACACCCATTTGAATGGATTAACTGAGTGGTAACTACCTACTAGACAGGTAGGCTATGGCCAGAGGAGTTGGGTTTGGGGCTGACTTTGGGCTAGATATTTGGTCTCTGGTGAGCAGAGCAATCTCTCCGTTTCCTGGTCCCCTCTTCTGAGCTGTTCTTCTTCTCCACGCCTTTCTTTCCTGATGTTCTGCCTCATCTTAGGCCCAGCGCAATGGAGTGGCTGTTTATGGACTGAGACCTCTGAAACTGTGAGCCCCAAATAAACTTTTCCTCCCCTAAAATTATTCTTGTCAGGTATTTTGGTCAGAGAGGTTTCGAAACTCACTAAAACAGGTGTGTAACACTGTGGCTTCCACTACTCAGCTCCAAGCAAGTCTTTCTATTTCTCCATGCATGTGAGGTGGAACCCACTTAGACTGCAGTGAGAAGCATGTAACATTTTTTTTTAACTTCAGTATTAAGCTAGATAAAATAATTTATTTAGGGTTCATGCATTATTATTTTTTTGTACTGGGGATTGAACCTTGGGGTACTTTATCACTGAACTACATCCCCAGTCCCTTTTTATATTTTATTTTGAGACGGGTCCCACTAAAGTTGCTGAAGTGGCCTTGAACTTGAGATTCGTAAGCCTCAACATCTTGAGTTGCTGGGATTACAGATATGCACCACCATGCCCAGCTCATAGTGATTATTTTTAATGTTGTAGTTTGAAGTTTCATTCTTCCCCAGATTACACACCTAAAACCTTAGAGTATGCCATATTCCTTACTCAATACATGATGATGCTCTTCTTTACTTCCCTAATCTGACAATATTTTAATTAGCCATTGAAGACTTTGGAGCTCACAGTTCTTATCTACATTCACTTATATTGAGAGATTGGATTGACTCCAGGGATGGTGCACTGTAAACAAAATTCCTGAAATTGTAATTTCTGGTCCTTTTTCAACACAAGGCTTCTTTTCCAGGCTGGAAAATCCTCAATACCTGCATGGAAATCCAAATGTGGCAAATAGAACTGGGGGGCTACCAAGATGTCTTCTGTACTCCATAAAGTATGTGTTCTTTAAGTGTTTCTTAAATGAATTACTTAATTTTTGCCCCAGACAGGAACCTTGGGATCTTGCAGTGCTTACAAGGACTTGGTACCAGAATTTAGCTGACCTTAGATTACCTTTCTTGGAAGAAATTACACTGGGTCGTCCTATACAACTAAAAAAATGCAAAACCAAGAAAGGTCTACTCCCTTCAGCAGAAGGTAAGTTTCTTAAGATTTGCTTTAGTAATTATAATTGTATCAGTTGCTTATTATCAGAGAAATGTTTAAATATGTGTATGCATACCCAGACCTCCTATTTTCCTTATGCCTCCACCATAGCTCCTTTTTTTCCATACTTCCCATCTTTGTATCCTTGCCATATTTCTTTTTTTAATTAATTAATTTATTCTAATTAGGTATATGTGATGGAAGAATGCATTTTTATTCATTGTACACAATTGCAGCACAACTTTTCATTTCTCTGGTTGTACACAATGTAGCATCACATCATATGTGCAGTCATACACGTACCTAGGGTAATGATGTCCACCTCATTCCATCATCTTTCCTGTTCCCCCGTCCCTTTGCCCAATCAAAGTTTCTCCATTTTTCTTATGCCCCCCCACTATTATGGATCAGTATCCACTTATCAGAGAAAACATTTATCCTTGCCATATTTCTAATTATTCAACAATGGGAAGCTATCAACATAACTTTATGATATTGTTTTGACTAAATTATGCCTGTTGAAAAATGCCAGTCAGATTGCCTCATGTATTTTCTTCTTTTAGCCCTCAAACTTGAAAGGGAGTATGAAATGAAGCGCCTAACTGCACTTAAATGCCAAGAAAATGTATCTAAAGAAGTTGGGTTTTCCCTCAAGGAAAAGACATTTGATTTGAGAAGACCTCTCCCACCCAAGTGGCAGTCATCTCATAATAGAGTCTTTACTCTATTTCCTGAACCCAAAGGGGATAAAGAGCTCTCACTGTGTAAAGATGCAAATGCATGAACGCCCACTGGTGGACAAGCCAGTGCACATCAGCGTGAGTTAGTGAACAGCTCTGGCCAATCATCTGGGTCCTTGCTACATTCTTTTTATATGGTATCACCGACAAGAGCACCGTAAGTACATGAAAATGCATCTGGGGCTAAATCATTTGGGCTATTTGTTTTGATTTTTATAAAAGTGCACTAAGGAATGAGTAAACTCATTGTCAGTGGTATTATTTTGAAGAAACATTTTGAATTGGCATCCTTGAGATCCTAAGGAGGAGCCAAAAAGAAGGTGAGAGAAATTCTCTTAAAAAGCATAAACTGGAAATTTTTGTTTGGTTAAGAAAAATGGTAGACTTCATTTTCATAACTCTTCAGTTATGAAAATTGGAAATTTCCAATTTTCAGCGAATCATCATTTAATATTCTGTATTCTGGTGTTTTATAATAGCAAGTGGAACTTACTTTGTTTTTGTTTTCCTAAAAAATGTCTTTTTCTTTTTGCTCAATTTCATTCTTTCTCTCTGGAATGACCCAGAGCATGTGGAACACACAGACATATGTGAAAGTGACATGAAAGTACAAAGAAGTTGTGAGGAAAACTCATATTGCAGAGTGGTTGGGGAATGGGGACTTGACTGGAAAGTACTAGATATGGATGACCCAGTTTTTCTAGAATTTGAATGGAATAAAACATACTTGACATTAATGTGATGTAAGAATATGCTTTCAGGTGATTCAGTAGGCATTTTAGGAACTTCTTATATCTTATCCTATTTATGAAAGGCACTATGACATAGAATTTAAAAGTATAGATGGGCTAGGTGCTGTGACACATGCATATAATCCCACCAGCTCAGGAGGCTGAGGCAGGAGGATCAAGAGTTCAAAGCCAGCCTCAGCAACTTAGTGAGACTCTGTCTCTAAATAAAATATAAAAAGGGTTGGGGATGTGGCTCAGTGGTTGAGTGCCCTTGGGTTCAATCCCCAGAACCAAAAAAAAAAAAAAGAACGAAAGAAAGAAAGTACAGATGAGCTGGGTGCAGTGCCACATGCCTGTAATCCTACCTACTCCAGGGAGGCGGAGGCGAAGGACCTCGAGTTTGAGGTCAGCATGGACAAATTAGTGAGTACATGAGGAGTACAGACTGTAGACCTGCCTGTTTGTCTTCAAATCCCATCTCAGCTGCTTATAGTGGTGTGACTTGGGATAATTGACTTTGTCTCTGAATTTTTATTCTCATGTGTAAAGTGGGAGTAATAATGGCACCTAATTCATAAGGTTGTTGTAATGATTAAATAAAAATTTCCTGGAGCACCATGAAAATTACTATAACTGTCAGAATCACTATCCTCTAGCACTTTAATTGAGGTATCAAACATGTATAATATTTGTCTAACTCTGTGACCTTTTGCAGAGGAGAAATCTTAAATTTTCAAAAATTTACTTTTGTTCTTGTCAGTGTTTATGTTCTCAGACCATCTGACTTGATTTTGTAGTTTAATACATGGCCCCTATATCTATGGAAATTCCTGATCATATCTGTTTAAAAACAATAATCCCTGATTATCAACTTTTCACTTATATCTTTCTTTTAAAAGTAATATGGACACTAGGCATGGTGCAGACCTGTTTTCCTAGCTACTTGAGAGGTTGAAGCAGGAGAGGATCCCCAGAGCAGCCTGGGAAACATAGCAAGCAACACCCAGCCTCAAAAAAAAAAAAAAAAGTGGTAGCATGGGAATTTTGTCTATGGAAAAATGTTCTATCCTAATGTCCCCACTGGGTCAGTTTATGGTCTGTCTCAGTAGCCATCAGGGAACCGTTAACATCTCACACCTTGTCTCATACTGGCAATATGAGTCTTGGGCTTCCATCCTTCTTGAAAAATGAATGAAACACGTATCTGTTTGCAATAAATTTTTCAGAGTGAAACGTGTCAGTGGTCCTTGTGAAAGCTGGGATTTGAGAAATCTTTAGTTCTTCATCATTTTCTTAAGAGGAAAGTGCTTGTTTATAACTTTAAGATTCTTCTAGTCATGTTTTTGAACAGATGTTTTGGAACTCTTAAAATTGCCCATGTTGAAATTAAAAATTACACCGTAAAATAAATTTGAGTAAAAATGCATTCATGTGTGTCTCTTCTCTTGAAATGACATAAGAACAACAATGCTATTTTACTTGTCAATACTCCAGTGCCTAGTTCAATGCCTAACTCACTCAGGCACTCAGTATACACTTATTTTACGTGTGTGTGTGTGTGTGTGTGTGTGTGCGCGCGCTGCTGGTGATCAAGCTCAGGGCCTTATGCGTGTTAGGCAAGCACTCTATTTCCAAGCCACATCCCCAGAACTCAATATACATGTATTGATGGAAATTTTCTAAATATGGTCAGGAGTTCCATAATAGAAAGTACTTTTTAGTTATATCCTTGCTTTTAGTAGTGGGATATTTTTTATTGGATGATGGCCATGATGTGATTGCCTTTGGGACTCAAGCAGTTTAAGATGGAATTTAACAAATACACAATTTTTACAGGAAACATCTTTGTTATTATAATCTAAGTAAAACTGATAGTAACTTAATTTCAATGGCATACACAAACTCCTTTACATCTCTTCCTTTTCCCATTTGTCATTGATGTCCCAAATTGCATCTTTTTATGTCCATTTATATAAATTTATAGTTTTTTTTTTTTTGTGAGGGAGTACTGGAGATTGAACCAAGGGGCATTTTGTCACTGAGCTACATCTCTAGCCCTTTTTATTTTTTGAGACAGGGTATCACTAGTTAGGGCTTAACTAAGTTGCTAGGCTGGCCTTAAACTTGCAATCCTCCTGTCTCAGCCTCCAGAGTTGCTAGGATTATAGGTGTGTGCCACTACACCCAGCAATTTATAGATATTTTTATACTTTTGTTATTTTAGATTCTATACAGTGTTCGAATTCAGTTTACAAGGCTGTATACTGTGGTGCACACCACTAGTCCCAGCTTCTCAGAAGCTGAGGCAGGAGGATCACCTGAGCCCAAGAGTTTGAGACCAGCTGGGCAAGGTAGTAAGACACTGTCTCTATGGGAAAAAAAGTGGTTTATACATCAACATTACAATACTATGAAATCCTATATTTTGTCTGTATTTTTACCTCTTCTATAGAGCCTTATATTTTTGTATGATTTTGTGACTGACTAGTGTTCTTTTGTTTCAATTTAAATAACTCTCTTTAGCATTTCTTGTAGGGAAGGTCTACTGGTAATGAAATCACCCAACTTTTGTTTATCTGGGAAAGTTTTTTATTTAGGAGGGTAATCAAGGGCACTCAACCACTGAGCCACATCCCTAGGCCTATTTTGAATTTTATTTAGAGACAGGGTCTCACTGAGTTGCTTAGCACCTCACTTTTGCTGAGGCTGGCTTTAAACTTGAAATCCTCCTGCCTTAGCCTCCTGAGCTATGGGAATTATAGGCATGTGCTACTTCGCTCCACTCCAACCCTTTTAAAGTTTTTATTTAGAAACAGGGTCTCACTAAATTGTTCAGGGCCTTGCTAAGTTGCTGAGGTTGGCTTTGAACTTGTGATCTTCCTGCCTTAGTCTCTAGAGCCATTAGGATTACAGGTATGTATCACCATGCCTAGCTTTATTGAGATTCTTCAGTTTGTATGTCCATTGTCTTCCTCAATTATGGTAAAGTTTTTTGGCTATTAATTTTTTTCTTTTTGGTATTAGAGGTTGAACCCAGGGGTTATTTATTATTGAGCTACATACCCAGTCTTTTTTGAGACAGTCTCATTAAGTTGCCAAGGATCTCACTAAGTTTTTGAGGATGGTCTCAAATTTACAATCCTCCTGCCTCAGTCTCCTGAGTTACTGGAATTATTGGTGTGTACATTACACTTCACCATTGTTTATTTAAGCAGGTTCTCTTCATTTTTATTTATTCACCACTGGATTATTTTGATATAAATTATAGACACATCAGTTCATTTATAATGATTAAAATACAGATTTTATAAATATTTCCAATTCTATAAAGATACAGACCAATCAAAGCATACCTAGGGAGGCATAATCTACAGGAGCATATAGTGTGACCTCAGATTAAGAGGTTATATCTGGTGGTTCCTTCTTTAAAATATTTAGAAGCCATTACTTGAATTATCTTGATACTTTCTTCCACGTATGACATAGTGGCTCAAAGGAAGACCACTTGCTCTCAGGCATTTTCCTGTGATTAACTCATTTGATTTAGTGATACTCAGCCATGGAAACTGTTGTCAGGAACTCAGGCTTTGTATGTAGCCTTGGCTGCATGACTTTGAGAAGGTGGAATTTCCACATTCCTAGTCCATGTTTGCCTCATGAAATTCAAATGTGCTTTGTGTAAGATATTTATCTGCCAACCAGCAATACTCCCCCGTCCTTGGGCAGAAAGTTGAGGGAGCTGGGACTTTCACTTTGTAACCCTGTTCTGCTGCTTTTTCTGTCCTTTCACACATCTGTCCTCTAATTTGTTTTTTGACTATGTTTTTCCTCTACTTTAGATTATTATCACAAATATGATAGCTGGGTTGTTAAGTCTGGAAAAGGATCATTTTATGATTACTCAGCCAAAGATCAGTCTTTAGTAAAAATTCAGTGTGTTTCTATCCCTTTGGAAATCAAAACCAATCTATTGTTTTCTTGAAAACTTTAATGCTATCCAGCTGTATCAATATGTGTTTTGGATCGTGAAGAGATTAATGCTATGTGCTTATTTTTGTAGTTCATGGTCCACTGAGCAGACTCTTCCCTTTTAGTGTCAGTGTCACTGATCCATCAAGTCCCAGGAATAATATAGCCAAACGTTTATTTGAAATTATGTATATTTCCTAATATAAAGTCCATAAATCTACTACTCAATGACCTTTTAAAATTAGATTTAATTTCTTAAAACTCAGATTTAAGGAAGATGGTAATAGAAAACTCTAGGCTTTTAGTTAATAGATTTGGGTTTAGATACCCCATTTCCTCCATTAGTTGTGTTTGTTGCCTTGAGAAAAATTTCATGGAAATTTTTGCAATGGAAATCAGTTTTTTTTTTTTACTTAAAAAATAAATGTGTTTTAAAGGTCAAATAAAGATTTACTTTTAAAAACGATAATTCCTTATACCTCATCCCTACTTTCCCTTTCCTTCCTTCCCCCTTCCTTCCTTCCTTCCTTCCTTCCTGTACTGGGGATTGAACCCAGGGGCACTTGACCACTAAACCACATACCCAGCCCCCCACTTTTTTTTTTCCTTTGGTACCAGGGATTGAATTCGGGGACACTTGATCCCTGAGCCACATCCCCAGCCCTATTTTATTTTTTATTTTGAGACAGGGTCTCATTAAGTTGCTTAGGGCCTTGCTAAGTTGCTGAGGCTGTCCTTGAACTTGGAATCCTCCTACCTCGCTGGGATTATAGGTGTGTACCATGGGGCCCATCTCTACTTTCATTTTCATCTCTACAGAGACAAGTTACTTTTGTTTCTTCCATCTATTTTGTTATTTACCTCCATGTCTCTGGATAACAAATTGTTATTGCTACTTATTGACTTTTTCTTTTTAATCTATTGATTTACCAGTGTAGAAGAGAGTATATTTTTTCTTTTCTTTACCCAACTTCATCACACATGCATAACACTTTCATCACTCTCTAAATATCGTTAGATTGGATTTTAATTTTACTTAGATCAATATAGAATATTAACATTTTTATGATTATGTGTTTTACTCCATTTGGGTTGCTGAAACACAAATAAACTGGGTAGGTTATAAACAACAGAAATTTATTTCTCACAGTTCTGGAAGTGGAGAAGTCTGAGAACAAAGATATTATCTTGGTATCTGGTAAGGGCTCATTTTCTGACCCACAAATGGTACTTCTCATAATGGTGGAAGGTACTAGCTAGCTCTTAGGGTATCTTTTATAAATACACTAATCCTATTCATGACCTAATTACCTACTAAACGGCCCCACCTCTTAATGTCATTACCTCAGTGGTTAGGATTTCAATGTATGAATTTTGGCATACAAACATTCAGATCACACCATTATGTCAATATTTCACATTTGAATTATATTTAAATTAAGATTAAATTTCCACTTTTGGGGGGTAAGATTTATTAATGGGATTTAGTAATTCCTTAATTTTTAGTGTGTTTGTCATTAAATAAATACATTATTTAAACCCCAAGATCCTTGCCTGTTGTCAATTTTCTCAAAATATTACATTATTTTGAGAAAATTGACAACAAATTATTCTCTAATTTCATTTTCTTAAGAAGTCCCTAAGAAGTCTTGTCTTGCTCTAACTAACCTGGCCAATTTCCCTACTAAAGAGTAAGCTGTCATTCTATGATTCTACATCATCAGCCTGGGGATTTACTTTACATTCTTTTGTGTAGGTACTCCTGTTTCTTATGTGTCTGATCATCTTGATTTACTCCTTTATTTTACTGGAGCATATTCTCCAGTAGTTACCCGAGAAATGGTTTGAAAAAGGGAAAATTTTTGAGGTATTTTGGTCTAATGTCTTTATTTTAATCTCAGATGTTACTGTTAGCTTGCTAGGTATCGAATTCTAGGTTGTAACCAATGTTCCTTTAAAACTGCAAAGTCTTTGTTCCTCCTTCTCTCTTGTCACTCCTCCTCCACCTTTTCTCCTCCTTATTTTCCTTCTGTTTATTATTGTTACCTAGCATTTTCCTTGAGACCTGCTTTTTCTCTCTGGGAGTGGAAGGCAGCTTCTCTTAGCTCCCAGTGTACTGACAGGACTCTTTTGTGTAGAACTCTTCACAGCTAGGGGAGCACAGTGATTTATGGGATTGAGTGTAGAGCCTGGGCACCTGGAATCCATGTCATTTCTGTCACTTTCTGGCTGCGTCATCTTGGACAAGATATTTAATGTTTCAAGAGTTGAGTTTCTGTATCTGAAAGAAATTAATAACAATGTTGTGACAAGTAAGTAAGTAGATATGTAAAGCAGTTGGAACAGTGACTGGCACAAAGTAAACCCCAACACTGATTTTATTAACCAGTCTACCAGAATCCCTTGCAATTGGTGCTCTTCAGATCTTGTGGTCTGGAAACTCACATCCCACAGTTC